AGAAATAGGAAGAACGCAGAATTGTTGACGTCTTTTATAAGTTATGTTATTGTCATGATTTAATTGTATCTGCAATTAGACTTTCTGTCAAATAAGACTGTACAAAACACCCCTAAATCGTATTTTAAACAAGGCTGCCATGACTATTTGTTTATATCTACAGCCTTTGAGATAGGGTCTCTAAAATCAACAATCATACAAAGTGTAATACTTTTTTTTAAAGCCATTTATTAAGCAACGTAACCTGATGTGATGATTCCATTATCAGTTATTGCCGAAAACTGAGGATAACAAAACAAAAACTAATTATCATTAAAGAACAACAAACAAGGACATAGAAACGAACCACAACCAATTAGATTGAAGGACATTTTAAAGAGCTTTTAATTTTATTTAAATTTTTTATACCACATGGTAAGTTAATACCATGGCTTAATTGATTTCTTAATCGCATATTAGTTCTGATAAAAACCTGATAGACCTGTAGTCGGTAAATTAAGAGAATTTTTACTATAAGCTATAAAGGAGGTTGTTGGTTGTTATGATAAAATTGCACAGGTCATTAATGTATATCACGAACTGTGTTGGTCCCAAGATTGACCCTTGAGGCACACCACATTTGATTGGGGCACTCTGGGAAACGGAGTTGTTATTTGATTGGTTAAATCGAAACTTATCAGCAATCAAAATCCATTTGTTTCCTTTATTATTTCTGTCTGTTTAAAGCGGTAGAAACAGATAAAACTAATCCTATGTAACTACAAAATTACGTCAAAGAGACTTGGCTATAGGAGTGCCTCAGGGATCCGTCCCGGGGCCAGTTTTTTTTAGTATCAACGTAAATAGTATTTTCGATTATCTTGGACTTTGGGCGACGTCACGAAGTGAGGTTATAAATGCCCGATTCACTGGTGGTTTTGGAAGAATGTACTTTCGAAGGCGACTCGGTATATTTGTAAGTGTAACACACACCTGGTGCATCCACCGGATATATAACGCGAGCCAGACGCTTTCTGTACGGCTTGCACCCAATATGGCGCACGAATTGACATTCCTCGACAAGGTATATGTACGGCATATACGTTGATAGTCTATTTTTACCGAACTTTCGGGACTGGCGGTTCCCGATGTCGATTGCCATTTTGATAATTTGGTGGAAGCGCCATTTATACGGCGCTCTATTTTGTGTTTAACTTATGTATGTTTTCTGCACACAAAAAAATTGCATAATAATGACTTTTTTTATAACTTGACCTCCTTTTATCTTTTGATTGGTCGCTTTTAATTTTTTTCACAATTCACTTTTACTGTATTGAGTCGTTAACTTTTCCTTTTTTTTTGCCACTGTTTGATTTCTTTTATGTTTTTAGCAATTTATTGCCAAATCTCTGTTTAACGCAACTCGTAAGGAGATTTATAGTGTTGTTTTAAATTGTTTTTGTACTCTTACTATATTGAATCGTTAACCCTATTTTTTGGAATTTTAATTTAATATCTTTTACATTTTGTTGTTAATTTATGTCACGTTTTAACAATAAAGTTCTTTTCTCCATTATTTTCTCTTTTTCTTTTCTTTGTTGGTTTCTTTTTTTTCACAATTTACCGCCAAACCAACTCTGTTTTAAGTTGCTTTTTATACTTTTTCTGGACTGAGTCGTTGTTGCTAAGTCTTTAATGTAAGTTATATTTTAACATTTATATTATTTTGTTTTTCTTTTCTTTGTTTGGTTTCTTTTAATTTTTTTAATAACTTGTTTATTTATTTATTTAAATTGATTTCTAGTTTTGTTTTAAATTGTTTTTTGTACTTCGTGAAACGTATTTTTTGTAATGTTGATGTAATATCTTTCACATTTTGTTGCTAAGTTCGGGACAGAAGTCAGGTAGGGTTCTTCGTTATTTTTTATTGAAGCTGCCTTAGACATTTTGGTAAAACCTCGGGGATGCTTCAAATACATATTTTAACATTAAGATCTCTATTGTATCTAGAACTTTTTTAGCAAAAGTAAATTGCGGTTTCAATTTCGTCCGTCTAAGCAATGAAAAACTAACACAACTAACTAATACAACCCCCGTTGTATTGTTCTTTTTTTAAATATTGTTTTCCTTTCTTTCGCAATTTAAGCTTTGAAAATATAATTAAAATTTCTATATCGATTACGCAAAAAAAAACACGGCAATTTCAAGTATCGCGTACCATAGAAAGCAAAAACATTTTTTCCTCTTTTTTTAGTTTTCGTTTACATACAGATTTTTTTTGGTTATAACTTTTCTTTTTTTTTTTATTTTCGTTTTTTTTTTGGTTATATACGGCAACGAAAAATCGCGTGAAACATTTTTCTTTTCGCTCGGTATAAAAATCGGGTTGGATGTTTCTAGAAACCGGAATTTAAAAACCCCTACGTGCGTAGATATTCTTCAGGATGTCGGAGGTCATTAACCTCGCAGGGGGCTCTTTTTTAGTTTAATCGATAGACAAGGACGAAGCGAAGAAGAAGCCAGATGCAAAGCTCATTTTGCGACCCGACGCTCTACGAGATAGTTACCAAATCGAGCTACAAATAATGTTAAACAAATGAAACTTTTGGTGAGGTAACGTCACTCCAATGAGCCAACATATTTTGGAAAACCAATTCAACATCCGATATATCCCAAAGTTGATTGAAAAACATAAAAAAAAATATTTTCTTCTTTATCAGTGCGTTGATTCAACTATTACGTGTGGTCTAAACCTTTTTCGCGAATCTACATCTACTTTTTCAACCACCCTGTGTAGTTTTATATTCCAGGTTCATTCATTGCTTGATGACGTAGCGGTAGGTATACCTAGTGATCAAACATTCGAAATTTTTAAATATAATTGACGACATTATATGCCACCACTTGTTGCGCATTTGTTTTTGCTTTTGCTGCTTGCGCTGTAACTGTGTACAGTGTTATTCACGGTGAAATGGTTATTTATGTAAGCGAATCCAAGCTACCTATGTAAAATATTTTAATCCATGCCAGATATACTCGTATCGTATATCAAGTTTCGTTTTTTAAAGGGAACATCCTGTATTTATGTAATGTAATGTATGTAACCCGTGCAGATAGACACTTCAATTTTTGTTTGCGGTTTTCTATTAAATGGCTTTATCATAATCAACTCAATTTTAAACACACGTAAATGAGTAATTAATTTTCCATCTAAAAAGACCAACCTATGGAATATCTATTTTCACTGACTTTGAAGCAAAAATCTAAAATATTGCAATTAAAGCGAATTAAAATAAGGACATTTCATCTTGAAATAATTATTTGCAACAGTGAAACTGGAAGGAAATACATATGTCAATAATAACATACAGGGTGTTCCAATTAAGAAGGAAAGTTGATATACGTCACAAGTATATCTGGCAACACGGCATTGTTTGTAAGTTTTCTCCATAAACGTCTAATAGGGCACTCACCGTGAATAACCATGTATACTTGTGAATTTTCTGCGGAATATTTTTTAATATTACTTTCTTTTTGCTTCCGCGGCTCTCTCTAACTGTTTTGTACTGCCATGAAATTTAACGTCACAAGTCAAAAACTTGTCATAGTTTCGGTTGTATTTCATGGAATAATTATTTTGAAAGCCTTTAATCCCAACGGTTTAGCAAGACTATCAGCATTTACTATTATTAGGATTAATTATGTTAGTTATATTTTAAGCTCTGCGACGACAATTTTGGTTAGACAGAAAATACAAAACTAGTTAAAATTAATTACTAATTAAACTAGGTTCCCGGGAAAAGCCAATCCGAGACTATGCCAAGCCGCCATTTTAGCGAAAATGAACTTTTCAGAAAAAAAAACATAGAATATAGGTAATTGAGCAGGGCTTAAAAATAAAATTTAAAAAAAAAAAACGGAAAAGAGGGTACAAAATAAATTGCTTCGACAACAAAGCAAAATAGAAAGTTTCATATACAGGGTGGGTCAGAAGGTGTAAAGACTGTTAGGATGCAAAATTTAAAATTATTTTTAAGTATATAGGGTAACCCAAAAAACGCGACGAATATAACGTACGTTTGTTAAATTTTAGTTTCGAATTGCTTTTAAAATCCTTCAACTTTTTTATTGACGATAATACATACCAAAACGTATTAGTTTTTCCAATATTTTAATTTTTGTAAAAAGATAATAGGTTTTACATTTGTTAAAAAAATTTTTCAAGTTCAATTTTCCAAATATATTTGGATAAGTTTAAATAGAAAATTCTCAATGGTTTTAAAGGACACACCATATATATTATTATTATTTCTTCTGAAAGATCTTACAAAAACAGACAACTTTTATTAAAAATCGGATATACTTATTTTTAACTTTTCTAAATAATATATTTACGCGTGTTATTTAAGAAAACCGAGATGTTTCGATTTAAAGAGATTAAAATTTATTTGTTTATTGTGAACACTCTGTAGCATATGATATATCAAGTATTCTTCAAAAATAATGTCGCCATTGTAATGTTTTTATGTTTTTAATGTTTATAAAAATTGAAATGCTTGGAAAAACTGTTAGTATTATTTACGTATTATTATCAATAAAAAAAAGTTGAAGTATTTCAAAACGAATGCAAAACGAAAATCTAGGAGACACCCTATATAGCATAAAATAATTTAAATTTTCTAGTTTAACAATTCTTCATGACTTTTGACGTTAACTCAGCCTGTATATAAAACATATCTAATTGCTGGGGACTTCCCCCTCTCCCCTTCAGCCCTTTCTATTTCGCTTGTCGTCGAAAATATTTATTTTACGCTTTCTTTTACGATTTTTCTTCTTTCTCTTTTCACCCGCTCTTTCTGCTTATCTTTTCCCTGGACGACTGAAAATATAAATATACTGTTTTTAAATGTTTAAAAAAAAAACAGAACACTTTATTTTTCCCGTGGTAGCGGTAGTTGGTAGAGCGCTTCGCTTTTGTTTTTTATTTTTTCATTTATTTCGTTTTTTGTCTTTTGTTTTAGAATCTGTACGGGGAGCCTTACACGCGTGGCGAGACGAGACGAGGTAGAGGGAAGGGTCGAGGTGGATCGGTAGGTTTTTTTTCTTCAATTTTCGCGCAGTAGACCACCCTACAAGATTTTTAAAAAATAACGCGCAAACGCATGGCTATAATATCTTAATGGGACCTAGCAAAAAATTGCAATCTACGTACAGCATAAAACAATCGAAGGCGCTGAGTTTCAAGGTGACCGAAACCGAAAGTACATTTTCAGCAATAGCGAAAGCGACGACAACCCTTCCTCCCGTACCCGCGCTACAGCGTTGCCGGTTCTCGCCGAAATTCCCTCTCAAGCGAAAATCTCAACGTATCCGCAATCTATAACGAAATGAGCTTATCGCAAGGTCAGTTCGTTTCTCTGCAATACGCTAGTGTTTACTGGTTGCATACTTCGAAATTTCCAAGCTTCCATTGGATAACCTATCAGAGTCCGACTTATACCACCCTAAATTGTAGATGAAAAGTGATTTCGAGGCTGGACCGGCACCATTTGTTCAATTGTTTTGTTACTAGATTATGGGAGGGGGGGGGTTGTTAGAAAATTTTTGTGGAGATTCTGATGGCGAAACTGCCGCCCTTTTCGCCATTTTCGAGACCACGCGATTTAACAACGAGGACGTCTTTTGTGGTCGGAAATAGATCATTTTTTGACTCATTTTCATCGAAATTTCAACAGAAAAATAAATAAAATGGTAAAGAAATAATCCTCACACCAGTTTTTTGAGCTTTTAGATGTTCATCTTCAGCTAGGAAGTGAAAACGTCTAGCCTAGTGCTGGTTTCACACTATCAACAAATGAATCTACGAATTTCTTGGCCAAACTTTTATTGTTATTTGATATCTGGAAATGTCATTTAACCGCTCAACCTAGGTTAGAGATTATGTTTGCTATTTTGAAACGTCATTTATACAGTTGTACTTGAACTGTCAACAAATGAATGGACGAATTTCTTCTTTAAGTTTTTTGTAATTTGACATTTGGAATGTCATTTCATAGATCGACCTCGGTTAGAGGTTATGTTTGATGTTTTGAAACGGCGTTTATTCAGTTGTACTTGAATTAATTGCCTGAACCGCTACAAAACGGAGTTATCGAAAAATAGCTGCGGAAACTTTAATCGTTATGGATTTTGCATCACTCTGGACCTAGTGAAAGTGTACCAAAAGCATCGACAAGAAAGCAAAAAATTATCAGTTGGCGGAAAATGGTCTAAAATGTCAGTCGGGTTTAAAAATTGTCAAAAATTTGAAATCAAATTGGCCGTGTGCTACAGGCGAAATAATTGAAATGGATCGTGAGATTGCCTCGTTACCATGTATGTTTAATGTAATAGAATTGGTGCGGGCTCAGTGCAAAGCGTTTTTTAATAAAAAATGTTTTAAGTGAGGCAAGGCAGCCTTATCTGTTTGGGTAAACGAGAATAGATTTGATGAAACGGTACCACTATTTGTTATTATTTTCTGGTAATAGCAGTTCCAATTTTGGCTCGGACGATGATGAGGTTTCATCGTAAATACAAACTAAATACGGTTTACTTGAAAGCCTCAGTTTTTGTTCCTGTTATTCTTTTATTATTATTACTATCTGTCCATCTCTATGAAATTTTGACTGAGCACTAAAAATGACCGACCCTGTCACTATCCCACCCCTCTAAGAGCTTTCTTCTATAAATAAACCACTCCATGATGTCACTAACCTTGGGTCCTGATAAATCCAGAGTCTCCGGCAATTTGAATCCTTTTTAGAGCCCCCACCAATCATTTCAATGATCAAATCCCCAACTTTCCTTGTTCATTAGTTTCGATGAATTTTTTTGTATCATCGTAAGCGGTGTTTATAACCATCTAACGAGAGCGTATCCAGAGTTTTCATATTTTGCGATCCTGGAAATGGAAAGGTAGGGCCCTAGAACGAGCCCTGGGGTAGGCCCGTTAAAATATCTGAGCTGCGGGGTGTTTTTTTTTGTGCGAAAGGGAGTGAAGCTTATATATCGTTTTTGCGACTAATTGGGGAGTTAAAATTCGTAAAATTTATTTTAACGCGGCTTGGGATATCTGGCGGAGACGCGGCAACGTCGCATTTTCGGCGCCCCCGGCGTATTGATTGCTTCCACGCGGCGCACGCGCTCCCCCTACCTTACGAATTCGCAATTACAACCCCCCGACTCGCGCTGCCGCCCCGTACAGTTTTCACAAAATTATTTCTGCGGTACGAAGCACGGCGTTGCCGGATCTCGCTGTTTGTAGTTTCTTTTTGGACGAAAAAAAACTGCTCGCTGGATGACTACTGAGGAGTTTCAATAGACAAACGCACTCTTAGGTTTAGGTTGGTTTATTTATGAGAATCGTACCTGTGGCCAGTGAAAACAAAATAAACAAACACATAACAAACAATATTTGAACAATGTGACGAAACAAATTTGTAAAAGTAGACAAGCAACACAAAACCGATTCTTGCGGGACACCGTGACGCTGGGGTAAACTCTTTGAAGGCGATCAGCAAAATACGATTCGAAAAAAGATATGACGCACTCTGACAAACGGGTAGTAGATAACTTTGGCGATAACAAACTATGATTGACACAGCCCATGGCATTTGATGTATCAAAAAGAGAGCCTATCCTTTAATTTCTCATATACGATCGCGCTCACCTCTTTCGGGGTAAAAAACCCACTATTCATTCAAAGAATTATGAACAGACACGTTAAACTTCTTAAACATAAATCATGTTTTTTCTGAAGAACAATTCGGATTTAGACCTCGTAGATAAAACGTCTTAAATTCGTTTCTATAAAATGACGCAATTTGACGTGATTTAAATATGATCTTTTAAGGCCCGTTACGTGGAAATTCGTTTCTTTTGACGTCCAAGATCTATTTCTCACAAAATAGATAATATTCCCATTCAGAGACAAGACCATAAAACAAGACTTGCTTCGTTCAGACCAAAATTATTTTCAATTTAATGGTCAATATTATATTGCTAAAGAAGGATTAATCATGGGAACCCACTTAATCTGCTACTTCCAGAAATGTTCAACATAATCTGAGTAAAAAGTTTCTTTGGAAAGAAAACTATAGTCCTTTTTGAATCATATTATCCCCACACATAACTGAATAAAATTTACCAAAACTCTTTAAACTTTCTGGTCGTTACTATAAGTAAATTTCAAAACAAATTACGGACACATTAACTCAAATTATCCTCGCGTCAGCCTTCTTGAATTTGGTTCTGAAGTGTTTTTGCAACTCATTACATTCTGCTTCTTCAACATGGTGTAATCAGCTGTTTTCTCGACATCGACACAGTTCGAAAAAAAGATAGGCACAACCTTAGTACGTAATGGAAGGGCATTACCATAGCATACCATAGATTAGAATCGATAAAAATGTAAACTGTCAGTGTAAAGTGGGTTGACTACGTGGAAAAAGGGTGAATATAATAACAATACTTAGTATCCGCGTTACGTCACTTTCAGCTTTAAGACGTGATGGGATTCGAGTGACTCCATCTGGCGGGCGCACGTTTGGCAACGTCGCGCGAGCAGGAAGTCCCTTGTAATAATATTTGCATCCCGTTTCGCCGAAAGCGTTCCAATCTTAGTCCTCGAAATTTGATTATTTCTTCTTCTGGGTTTACGGTTTTTAATTGCTTATCGGGGATCGGTGGTTTTTAATTATAGCGCGTGGGCGGTTTATCAGAAACCATCGACTACAAAAACGTATATAGTCTATATCAAACGGAGCGTTTTGAGTAACAAAAATTAATACGCATATTTTTAAGATTTTAATGTTTTTCCTTGTGGATATCGAATTAATGGAAAAAGCGGTTGTTCCGCTTACCAACCATCTTCTAATTTGAACGTCTTATTTTTATGAGGTCAAACAATAAAATTATTTTGGTTTTATATGATAAGTGTCGAGGGCTTTCTTTGATGAGTTCTTTTAGTTGTTTTATAAATTTTTATTTCAATAATAACTTTACTTAATTTTTTCTCGAACTTAACGTCATTAACGTGTTACCACAGAATCTAAAAATCTAACCAAATCAGGATATAACCTTTACGACTTATTCTTCTTCTTATACCTTTCTCCAAGTGTCGTAGTTTCTTTTTGTACCTTTTTCTGTTCCAAATATTTGCATTTTTTTGTTATTTTCCAATACTCTCCAATTTGTGTAGTCATCTGTAACACTACGTATGTAGCTTTAGTTGTCTCAAGTTAATGATCTATTGGACCAAATTTACTGTATGGATGATGTCAACTGGTCTTGTTGCTCTTGGTCTTTCTGGATTAAAAGGAAATCACGCTTGCTGATCCGTGCCGTTTACTTCATAATTTTGAACTTTTTCTTTTGTTTTTACTGTGTTTTTTCATTTTACCCTGTTCCTTGAAGTCAACTGTATATGATCCTGTTTGATTCTGTTTGCGTTCATATACTTTTCACTTGTCCTTTGTTCCGCAGCCAATTACAAGGAGTTGTTTGTTATTTCTGGTACGTCTGTTGTTTTTCTTTGGAACACTTATTTCCACAATCTTGTTTGTTAAGTTTTAAACGTTTCTTTATGTCCTGCTGGAGTCTATGACAAACTCCCGATTCTTCTTACATTCAGATTCCGTTAAAAATACAACTTTGTTTTTATTATGTCGCTTATTTTCCCTGAAGAGAATACATGTATCTGTAGGGTTCGTCGTCTCACAAATTTGCAAAACTGTTTTGGTGTGTCTCTTTATTTTTATAATATCCATTTTCAATTTTTTTTTTTTTTAGTCATTTTAATCAAAAATGACAAAGTTTTTCACCACTTTGAAGATAAAGCACTCCTTTCTGTACTACTTATACTCTACTTACTATTTATTATTGTTATGTTCTTCTAAAAACAGTAAGGTTAGCAAACGTTTTTTCTTATTGCATGGTAGTTTCCACTGGTCTTGTCGCTCTTGTTTCTTCTGCATTAAAAGAAAATCACGCCTATGTCCTTAAATAAATAACACAAGTATCTCGAAAGGATCACATCTTTTTCTGATTCCGATCCATACCACTTTCTTCATATTGACTTGCCAGTTTTAAATATGTTTCTCCTGTTCTTTCAAGTTTACAGTACATAATCCTGTTTTGTTTGCCTTCAAAAATGTTTTCATCATTTTTCAAAGCATACACTTTATCTTTTTCACAGTAATGAAAAGGATTTTGGTATGAAGAAATTTGATATCATGTTCAGGTGGCTATACGATTGAAAAAAAAAACTTTAATACAAATACCCCCGCTTTCTTTTCTTTTTGTTCTTTCAAGTCCACTGTACATAATCCTGTTCCATTCTGTCTGCCAAAAACTTTTTTATCAGTTTTCAGAACACTTTGTCCTCTTCAGAAATCACTTGTCCTTCGCTTGCGATTGACGCAGGCACCGATAAAAGGTTCTTTGCAACTGTATTTGTACTGTATTGCTTATTCCCTCAGAAAAAACAGCTTGGTTGTCTTGCAGATTTTGCAGAACAGTTTTGGTTTGTTTCTTTATTTTTATAATCTTCATTTTCAATTTGCTTTTATCATCAAGTTGTTTTTACCGCTTTCAGAATGAATGATTATTATCGAACAATAACCTCGCCAACATTTAACGAATGTTAGCTAACATTCCTCTCAAAACCTCCCACAAACTTCTTTTGCGCTCTTAGTATTCATCATTCTAACCACCCAAGGCCGAATCAAATGCCATCAAATATAATGCGAAAGCCTATGAGTGCCCAAATATCATTAGACAACCAACCGTGCACCAAACATTTCGCGCCTGCGTTCCGCACATCCGATATTTCTTCACAAGCTGCGTGTTCTCATTCGAATGCATTCAATTCCGTTCAATTATCTGTTAATTCGATGAAATCTTTGCGCCAGGAACCGAATATCTCAGACCCACAAGCGACGGTAGACAACCAACCTTGCGTTTACCGCGCGGTCATTGAAGACCGACAAAATTTTCAAGTCCGCGTGACTTGCTCGCAACGTCATCGCTACCGTGCGAAACAACAAAGAGCGACGAAAAAAATCTTCGGAAACGGGCCGTTTCCTTCAAAAATCTGCCGTTATTGTACGCGTCCATTTCCTGTAGCGTAATCGATCGACGCGACGTTGCCGCTCTTGCCCTAGCGACGGACTCGCTTGGTATTTTCCGACAGCGGATATTTATTAAAGGTTTATTTTAACATCAGGTGATATGTATTGTTCGTTAAGAATTTAATCTAATCTAAATGTTTTGGTTAGTTAATTTTTTGAAGTCTACACTCACTTTCATTGTCTAAACAAAAAGCAACTCTGACGACTTTTTCCTTAAACTAATACTACATAATAATTTTAATGCCACATGTGCCCTTCGAAATATAACCTGGCCCGAAACGCGGCTAACATTGGCAACCTCGCGCGCTCTGCTTCGGACGCGTAAACAACGCCGACCTTAGCGCGGACGTACGTTCCTCGATCGGCTTTCGTCATCGGCCCAGCGAACGATACGCCACCTCCTAAACTTACGGCCGCGCTAGGCGCGCAAGGTTAGCGGGTGGGAGACAGGCTTGATAACAAATTTTTAGACCGAAAGTGCGTTTTCACGGGCCGTAAAGCCTCGCGCGTCTCTTATTAACTAATTAAAAATGTGTTAAATTTTAATCGTCCGTTTCGAGCATAGCCACGTTCACTGCCATCGTTGTGATCTCGTATTCGTCTAGGCGGCCGTGACCGAGTATCGTCCTAATTTTTCATAGTTTTAAGTGAAGTTTCACACCGCAGTGCAACGTTTGACGGCGCCTGCGCGCGAGATCGTCTCAGGTACGGCGATTTTTGTGGATTTTTATCGTCGAACGATCAACTGTCGCGTGTCGCGTTTACATGGCCCACTATTCGGGAGCTGCGCGTTATAACGAAAACGATGCGTTCGTCTCTGTTATCCCATGGAATTTGAATAACTGATTCGTCTTGCCCTCCCGAAACGAACCAATACTTAGTAATCGCCGACATATGTCGGTCGCGGCAGTCGCGTCGGAACTTGAACGATCACTTTTCCTTGCTTTTTTCAGGGCGACTTTGTTTTTGGTTATATTTTTCGTTATTGATGCGGTTTTGAAGTAATTAATATTCATTAAAATGAAATTATAGTGATGCGAATGTTCTACTAATCACAAAAATAGTTTAAATAGACGTATTAAAATCATCCGCGATCTGAATCATAATATTCCATAGCCTTTCGAAATTAGTCCAGAATGAATACCTAGTTTAATAAATTTATGAAAATAGGCGTACGCAATTTTACCTGTCGGTTGCTGGTGCGCCACTGATTTCTTCTAAAAAAAATCGATTCATACAATCTCAATGAAATTTAATTTCCTTTTTTTTTTCAATCTGATGTAAGGTTTTCAGTTCAAAAAATTCCTCCCTGCATCGTCATAACAATATCGAAATTAGTTTTTATTTAAGTAAAAACAACGAACTAAAAAAAAGTAAAAGATCAAATCTGCTCATAATTATTTTCTTCTCAGGAAATCAGTGGCGCGCCACTGACCGACTATGAACAAACAATATTCTGGTCAATTAGGTCGTCACTGTACTGGTTCAGTTTACACCTTTTTATTTGTGAAAAATAAAATATCTATCTAGAACAAATAAATATTAAAAGACTGTTGTTTTTGGTTTCACAGTTTTGATGAAATAACATAACATCCTAACAAGATAAATAATTAAATAACAAAATTCTTATTTAAAACGAAATACTACCTACCATTAATAATTACATTTCTGAAAATGCTGGTCTCATCTGTAAATGACATTGTCATCAAGAGAATTGGAAGCTGCAATTTCTGAAGTATTTTTTGAAGTATTTTAATAAAACAGATAGGCAATTACTTACCTACATAAGAAATAATACCGACAACAATTCTCTGCATGCTGTCATATTAACGATATTATTATCATCACTTAGAGAAGAAGTTTTTATTTTTTCTTAGCGAAAACGTTGGAGATCGTAAGAATATTTTTTATTTTTCTATTGCAGAGCTACCGCGGAAGGAAGCCGAACGGACCCGTGACCTCCCTCGCACCTGGTGGCGGAGGCATACCACCCCCACCGGAAACAAGCGCGGTCCCCGCGGCGCCGCCCCCGCAGCAACCCGCCCCACGTCCGAGCCCCCAGCCAACCGCCATTCAGCCGATGCCCGTCCAGCAGCAGCCGATGGTAAGATTTATTCAATACTACCCACGCTGGATTAAGGGACCAAAAAACATTACCGTAGCAGTTTTTTTAAACACCGATTTGCAAAAGTGGGCCAGTTTCTTCTCCAACAATCCGGTCGGATGCCACTTTTTGAAAATTTTAATTTGAAAATTGGGATAATATAAAAAAAGTATATGAGGATCACTCAGTAAAGCAGCAAGCAGCTCATCTAGGTGTTTGCAAATTTATGTCCTAGCTCGACAACTAAAGTAAATTATGTTAAGCGGGAAGTAGGGGTGGGTTATTGGGCGCCACTGGTCTGCGATGGAATGTGTGGTATTGGGTTTCTGTTACTTGCCTGGGGTCTACGTACGGCAATTTCTAATAAAAACGAGATAAGGGAAAAACAAAAATATCGACAGGACTAGCTGACAGCTCGCTCTTGTGGGCAGGTCAGGAAAAGAAGAAAAGATGGAATTTACATATTGATTATAGAAATAGTTGAATGCCGTTATACCATTACATATTTATACATCCCATCACAGAAGTAAAAGATAACATTCGCAGGGTAAAATCACTAGCAAAAAGCAGAATCTGTCAGTAATGACCGATGTATCAACCCAGAGAGAAAGAAGAAAGCAATCAGAAACATAAAGTAAGATCGATTTGAAGGAAAGTACCAAAAATAATTGAATGGAATTAGCAGGAGAAGTGTGATTTAATTCATAAGACAACATACACAGGTAATTGTTTACTTTACTGCAAACATGACCTAATGTCGAAATTGGAACGTAACACAGATCGTGTGTGATTAAATTTGGCAAAATAAAACAACCTATTAACATATCACGTATGAAGTCCAAACGTTGTTGGTGCCACACAGGCGAAAAAGAATTAATTTGACAAACATTATGCACGTCATGGAATGATGAACGATGAAAACAAGTTTGACGTATTTTGTGGTGGGGAGAAAAACAGATGAGGCATTAAATCCAAAAGTAAAATCAACACAAGTAAAGGATTAAAATGTATAAATAAAAAAATAGTGAATGGAAAATAAGCGAGAGTTCACGCTCACGATGTTCTTGAATGGTCACTTTATAGAACTTAAGCGAAGTTATTTCAAACACCTTTAAACTTATTTCTATGGTATGGTTCAACAAAAATCATTGAATCAGTATTAAAAAACCAAATTGGAGTATATTAATTTTTACTTTGATCAGCAATATGACTTCAGGGAGGGTAGATCAATCGACTCTGGTCACCAAGCTGGTTAAAGCTATAGCCAAAGGACGAGAAGGTTGGACTGAGTGAACCACCGGACTTTACTAAAAAAATTAAAATATCACAATTTTGACATCTTGAGCCGGTTTATTTATAGCTGAGAGTTAGTGAGAGAAGTTCTACTTCGAAACTAATCCAAATGAAAGGAATTAAGTACCAAACTACCAGTTTTCCCTGTAAAGGGTTTTAATGTAGATGCTAGAAATTTTGTTGGCGAATATTTTGGAGAACCAATGGTGCTGACAATACGGCGATGTTATGAGGAATTTTAGAGTCACGACATTATTTTTGATGGACTTTGATGGAGAAGAAGTCTTATTTAGATATTTTAGATGATGTTCCATATCTGTTTGAGGTGGCACTTTGTTTGGGATGTACAACGAAGTTGAAACCGTCTCATGTTATATTCACCACAGGTAGTTGAGGACCGTTTGATGGTGTCGACTTTAGTTTTTCAAAAATCTGAATGTGATTCTGGGTAGGTGTCTTATTGATTTGGTCTATTTCTGTGTGATGAATTCTTTCTCGAAGTAAAGCGAAACTAGATTTACGAAGAATTTTATAAGCCAATGAGGTTTTGACGTGGTGGGATATTTATAGAAAATTAGGGGTTACGTTATGGTCAGTCGGTGATCTTCTAACATTCTGCTTTTGCACTCGATTTGCTCTCCATGGTTTTATTCTGTTTATAAATTTTTAATTCGCTGTTAACTGAACTTTGCTTACGCTTTACATTATTTTATACGAGCATCCTCAAAAAAAATTGTTACTATCCTTTCCGTTACTCCTATGTGCGGCGTTGCCGCTGATTTTCTCCGTGCAAGAGAAAAAAAAATGACGACGTCGACCTTGAAAATAAAAGTGGCCCCGTTATCGTCGTCAGCTGAGCGCGTTGGGGGAGATTCCCCATTTGATAGCTTCGTGGGGACGAAGGGTCCGTATATAAACACCCTACCGTTGAGGCAGGTCGCCTTCGACGAGGTCTTTTCCCCCAAGGGCCGGCCGAATCGTATCCTGTCTGTCTCAACTTTAACCTCCCCCAAAATAAACCACGACAAAAGGTCGATTTGTCTTTTCTGGACCCCATATTTTCGGGTGGGGGGGTGGGGGGTGGTTTTTTGCCGCGTCGTCGATCAGCGGCGCGCGGTTTTTTGTTTTTGGGAAGTAGCTAATATTGTCCCTCTTCCTAAGATTGTCAAACCCGCAGACGTTTAGCAACTTAAGGTCCATTTCCATTCTGCCAATATTATCTAAGGTTATAGAACGTGTCAGATGACATCATTGGAGGGATTGATGAGTGCACTGTGTTGGTTCTACTCGATTATTCTAAGGCTTTTGATACCATTAGTCACAATATTCTGCTCACTATTTTTAAATACTTAGGTTTTGAGGAGGCATCCGTAACTTTAATTAAAAACTACTTAACAGGGAGAAAGCAAAAGGTGGTTCTGAACGGGGTCTGCTTGCCTAGAAATAACAAGTGGAGTTCCTCAATGCTCAATTGTAGCTCCTGTTCTGTTTATAATTTTCACAACAAAATTCTTAGATTTTCTCTAGTTTTGCAAAGACCTCTCGGTTGCAGCTTGAGTGCCAAAATATCAACAGTTACCTTGAACGAGTTAATAGAATTTCCAGAGATCACGGATTGCTTTTAAACCCAAAAAAAAATTCTGTAATGTTTTTTGGTCGACCGGTGGATCGGTCTTGCTTCTGAAGTAATCACAAAAATTAACAATATCACTCTTCCACTTCAAAACGAGGCAAGAAATTTCTATATTGGCCGTTTAAAAGGGCCAAGGCATATACTAACTCGAAATCTTAAAAAAACCTCATGCGATGCTCTTGTTACTTTCGAAAATCGACGAAATCGAATTTTTCTAAAGTATCTGCGCTCGTGTAAAAATTTTATATCTGTTGAACCAGAAGACGGAGAAGATACGGCTCTATAAACTTTTATTTTTGACAATTTTTCAAAAATATACATGGTGTTCCGCAAATTCAAATGAAAATTTTTTTTGGGTAAATTTGGCTTCCAGAAAAATATGTTTTCCTCTATAATCATTCATCCGATTGGCAAATTGTTCAACCGACAGTGCAATAACATTTATTTCAGGCATTTTTCGATTATATACAGGGTTTTCAAATTTCAAAACCTAGAAAATTGTTTTTTATGGAGTTAATTATTAGCCGCTGATCGAAAATCGCCCCAGCAAGACCTACAATTTTTGTATTTGCAGTTTTCGTCTATCACATACGCCGCTCTGGATATTTGAAAAAATCCATATTGAAATCGTTATTTCGGCCACTGTTAAGACGCGATGACGTCATTGATTATTACAGCGCACTGCATGGTTTCAGAAAAATCTTATTTTCTCGAAAACCGTTTACTATTTTCAAAAAATTCTCGAACCAGGAAAAATGCGTTTCTTTGTTTCCAGACCCCGATGCCTTTCTACGCCGATCCGAACCGTTTCACCACCCCTGTGTGGCAAACCGACCCAGCTCAAGGTAGAACCCACCCACCTCTTCACCATTTCCCGCAGCCTTATTTTGACCCATCTCTCTCTCTCTCGCAGGATGGCCTCAAGGTCAGTTCATCCAGCAGATCCCGCCGGCAGCTCAACCCATAGAGACTTACCAGCAGTATCCGAACGGTATCTACCAAACGACCTACCAGCAACCTGCGTTCGAAACCAATACTTTCTACACCGGCGCCGTTCAGGTGCTTACCAGCGCTAGACCACCCAGCGTCCCCAACCAGCAAACCCAAATAATACCTTCGAGGCCAAATTCCAATTACGCTCATACGCCTAGTCCTAGCCCGGCGGCTCAGCAACAGAGCCAACAGCAACCGTCTACGCCCAGGCAGTACCAAGAGTACCAGTTTAGTACTGGGGGCGAAGGTTCCCAGTCCAGACCCAGCTCTGTCAATAGCGGGGTCAACCAGAACCCCACCACTCCCAACCAGAACTTTAACCAGCAGCAGCAGCAGCAACAGCAACAACAACAGCAGCAGCAGCAGCAGCAGGTGTTTACTTCGAGTAGCGAAACGAACTTTAGTTCGGGCAATGGCGGCCAGCAGGGTCAGTACGGCAACATGGGTTCGGGAAACGCACAGCCTGGGTACCCACAGGTGAGGCAAAGTGAATGTTCGAAAATACATTTTTGTGTTTGATATTTTTTTTTAGGTTTTACATTTTAAAAAAGTGAAAATTGAAATATTCTTATATTGCTTTGATTTTCAGTTTAACACGTAAAACTAAAAAATAAAATAGTTTAATTCTCTGAAATTTTAGCACATAAAAGTGAAAGTGATTTTGAGAATTTTTTTGTTTGTAAGTTTTTCGTGCGTTCGTCTAAAAGTATTAAAAAAACTAATAGTTTAAAGGTCTTCACTTTAGGGAGAACATTAAAATAAACCGTAAATTTGCGAATTTTCTTAAAATTCCAAAATTGTAAAAATTTAAAAATTATTATGTTTTTTTAACTTTCTTCAACTTTAGCACTTAAAATTTTGAGAATTTTTTTGTTTGCGAATTTTTCGTACGTGCGTATAAAAAAGCGTTTAAATAAAAATTACATTTTGGAAGTCCTTTCATGGCTTTTATTTTTAACACTTTAGGGCATAAAATTAAAATAGAGTATTGCAAATATTCGAAATTTTTATTTAAATTTTAAGTTTTCCTTCTTTATTTTCATTTTCTTCAACTTCCAATTTTTTTGTTTCTGATTTTTCCGTAAGTCAGTTTTATTAATTTTATTTTCTTGTACTTTCTTGTACTTTCTTGTAAGAATTTAAAAAAGGAAACTTTCTTAATTTTTAATTTTAATTTTCTTTCACTTTAATAGACAAAAATAAAATAAAAAAAGAAATTTCTTTGTTGGTAAGTTTTCTTACATTTATGTAAAAAATAATGTAAAAACCCTTATAAAACTTTTATATTCTTCTATTAGTAGATAAAAATTAATAAAAAAAAAACGTTTTTTGCATTGGTATAAGAATTTTTTTAAAAGCGGGGCACGGAAAATGCTTTCAGTACTTTTATTTTCTTATGGTTGCATACAAAAATAATTTAAAAAATTAAAAATTGAAAAAAAGTTTGAGATTTTTTTTAGCAATTTTTTTTACGTTCCAACATTCATTGATAAACGGCGAGACTTTTTATAATTATTTTGTCGCTATTATTTTCTCACGCTTGCCAGAAAATTACAATGTAAGTTGTTGTTTGAGAACTTTTTGGAAGTCGAAAATTTGGACACTTTTTCACTGATACACGATCATATAAAAATATGAAACAAAAATAAAAACTGTAGTTTGTAGTTAAACGGGAGCGACGATTTTTTTTTTGAGACCTCAACTAATCAAAAACTACTTAGCTACTTTTACAGAAAATCCGCAAATCAAAGAAAGGGTTTTGTTCGCTTAATTTTTCCGTTCTCATTTTTCTACTACCCGAACGATATTCATCCACTGTTCCACGCCACCCATTATTTATCAGGTGAACGCCAGCAGTCCGCAGGTAGCTTCACACAACTCTAGTGGGTACCCAGGCAGCGAGCAATATAGCGGACAGGCTCAACAATGGCAGCAGCAGCACGACCAGATGCAATGGAATCAGGACAAGATCGACCGGCAGCAGCAAAATTACCAGGACCAGCAGCAGCAGCAGTACAACATCGGGCAGCAGCAGCAACAGTACGCTGATGCTCACTCACCGGTGAAAACCCAGTCCGACGTCCAAAAGACTTTCTCGCAGGCCGACAAAGTGAACCTCAACACTCGGATCAAAACGATGATACTGAACAAGCAGCAGAACGAGACCAAGATGGAGGAGGAGCACAACAGACCGGCCGACCAAAACTCTACCGGTCATTTTTTATGGTATAGCCACCATCATCACTTGAATCCAGGTGTTGGTGGTGGCCCCATTTACGATACCCGAATGGACAGACTAGGCCCGTACGAGACCGCCCCCCATTTTGCTCAAAGTAATTTTATGACCCCGCCCCCGACGCCGTTCGACTATCGGGAACGCTTACTGTGGTCGCCGAAGGCGGTCGGCGGTACGAAGACGAAGAAATGCGAAGCCGCGCAGCCCAAGTCGCCCCCCAAAGCCGGAGAAGAGATACCACCTTGCGGATGTTTCCCATCCGATCAGAATCCTCCGGAGCCCGGTACCTATTACACGCATCTGGGATGCGCGAGCACCCTGAAGACGTTGAGGCACAACCTGGAGTGTCAGACGGGCGCCACTGGACCGGCCATACGAATCGAGAAGGTGCGGTACACCGGCAAGGAAGGCAAGACCGCTCAAGGGTGTCCGATCGTCAAGTGGGTGAGTCGCGCATAATTATTAATGAGGTAAAAGCTCTCTCAATCATTTACAATTGACGAAAAACGTTATGTGACGACAAAAACCTGCACTTTACTTAATAACTGACGAAATTAAATATAAAAGTGAGAGGAAAGCAGTTATAAACAATGAGAAACGTTCTGATGCAATTATAAGTGAGAGAACAGCTTTCTTTTTCAATTATACATTATGAAAAACTGTTTCATATTTGTGACAAAAACTCTGCGGCCCTTATTGATGACAAATATTACAAAAAACCCCGGTGACAAAAGTCTCTTGTTACTTAACAACTCTTTCAATTATAAAACATGAAAACTTTCAGATATAATTATTTGTGACAAAAATATTTCTGGGACACTTATCGATTTTCTTATATATTAACTGTTGAAGATACCTCTCGTCTAATTATAAGTAAGAAAAAAGCTCTCTCGTTGATTTATAAGTAACGTATTTATTGATTAAAAAAACTCTCTTGTCTTAATAATTGTCAAAAATAGCTCTCGTATAAACGAAAGGAAAGCTCTCTCGTTCAATTACAAAATATGAAAACTTTTAGATATAATTATTTGTAACAAAAAATACCCAAACGACACACACTCATTCATAATAACTGACGAAAGTGTAGTATAAATGAGAAAAAAGCCCTCTTATTGATTTATAAGTCCCTGTCCTGATATAGTAACTAAGGAAAATAGCTCTTGGAGATGTTATTGATGACAAAACCTGTGCTATCTTTTATAATATCTGACGAAAATAACTCTCGTGTATGAATGAGAGAAAAGCTCTCTCGTACAATTGTAAGTGACAAAAAGCATTCCGATGAAATTATTTGTGACAAAGAAACCCTGGGCAGTTAGTGATGAAAAAACTCTTTTGTCTTGTATAACAACTGAAGAGCTCTCAAGTTATTATAAGCGAGTTTTCTCGTTCAATTTATAAGTGACGGAAAGCTTTCTTATGTAATTATTTGTAACATGAAAAAAATGTGGGCAGTTTTATTAATGACAAACTGTCTGTTGTGTTATGCAATAACTGACGATAATAATAGCTCTCGAGTAATTGTAAAAATAGCAAAAGATCTCTCGTTAGTTTATAAGTAATAAAACATGTTCTGATGCAATTATTCGAGACAAAAAAAGCCCCGGCACAGTTCTGATGATAAAAATTTTATTCGCTTGTATAACAAGTGGCGAAAATAACTCTCGTGCAATTATGTCAGGGAAAGCTCTCTCGTGCAATGACAAAAAACGTTTCGATGAAAACTAACAAAAATAGCTAATTATAAGTGAGAGAAAAGCTTTTTCGTTTACTTGTAAATGACGACGGTGCAGCTATTTATGACAAAGGATATCTCGTCTCCTAAAATAACTGACCTATAATTATAAGCTCTGACACTTGTATACTTAGACCAGAAATATAGTGGTGAACTTGGTGTGAGAACTTTTTTATGCAGTTCTTCTAGGGTGAAAACGTAGATTGTATGCCTAATTAGATCTGCGTGGTGCTCTTGAAAAAATTCGCGAAGTACCAGCATTTTTTCTCACTTTCCTCTTGACAGATGACTTCGGTGAACTTTGGTCATGTCACTTGTTACTTTCGAAAATCGATGAAATCGAATTCTTCGAAAGTATCTGCGCTCGTGTAAAAATTTTATATCTCGGTAACGGTAAGTCCTGCGGGTTCGCCGTTGGTACAGAAATTAAAATTTTTTTGTCTGTTTGTCCGTTCTCCGTTCTCGTCTTTCGATTTTTCCCTGAATAACTTTCGAACCGTTGGAGCTACAAAATTGAAATTTGTGTCCTTTTTAACCCTCCACGAGGCACATGAGCTTATCTTTTTTTAAGTATCCGAAATTTGAAGCAATCGACCGGAAGACGCAGAGGAAACCACTCCATAAACTTTTATTCTTCACAATTTTTCAGAAATATACAGGTTGTGCCGCGAATTCAAAAAAACTGAAAAATGGGTCCCTATATTATTGAAAGTTGGCAATAGTTTCAAATTTTAATATTTACCGAAGTTCGATGAGATGGGAAGGACAATTTGTATAGGGTGTATTCACAATTAAATTACATGGATTTTGCGAAAGTTCCATAGTGGCCCGCAGGAGCACGATACAAAACCAACGCGTTCCTCTAGGACAAAGCATCCGAGAAGCGCCTTCTTTTCAAAATAAAAAGCTGATTCGCGCTATTTGGGACGAACTTGCCCTGGCCACCGGCGTTTTTCGGAAGCAATCCTCCCTTTCTGGATTTCTAATAAAATTGTAAACATTCAAAATAATTTTTAGCGTCCTAAGACAACTGGATCGGTTTTTTTTATTTGCCTTAGTAGTTCGTCTTCTAAATTGTCATTTGGCTCGACTATCATCTCCACTTGTCTTGAAATTCTGCGTTGTTTTTAATGTCTTGTTCTAACAGGACAACATCTGCTTCATTCCACGGAGTTCACATTTTAAAGTGTTAAAAAACAGGAACTTTCAAAAAATGTTTAATTTTAAGCTTATAATAAATATGTATCTGTATTCTTATGAGGTACATTTATTTACCGCAAATATAATCTGAAGTCTTAAAAAAGACTGTTGTTGTTTACAAATCGAATGTTGTTAATCGACAGACATACAAGACGAAAATGATTATTTTCAAACCTACCTCCAAGATTGATAGAGTAGAGGTATGGTCTGTTCATAGATATAAGAAAGTCACCAATTGCTTTTGAATGGCATTATCCTTTCCTGTTTACTATTCTTTGGTTTGCTATACTACTTAGTTTAAGTTTATTAGTAATCATTCTTATTTCGTGTGTAATACAGCGTGTGTTGAATCGTGTGCGAATTATGCAAAATATGTGCGGGTCTAGTGTATCTTAGGAGATGCTCCCGCCCAAATGTAGAAAACACTATTCCATCGAGACTAAGGAAATTATACGGCACGGACCTGTTCGGCCATATTTCATTATTACAGCTTGCCCGGGTCTTTCCTTAAGCCGTATCCCATATCTATGAACAGACTTTACTTACTATTACCCTTTGAACTGTCCAGTGAAAACAACGTCGCAGGATCACAGTGAAATACCTCAAATATATTAGACTCTTAAGAACGATACGTATCACCCGAAGTTAAAATAAACGTTTCTACTTATTCGAAAATACCCCGCAGCATCAATGCTTAATCAAATTTAAAACGGTCCATTTACGTTTCAAATAAAAATTTCCATTTGCCATCTCAGGCAAGACCTACTAAATGCAGAATAAACATCTGTTGTGATGGGTTTTACCACGGTCCTGCAGAGGTCTGCGGTTACGGTACTGTAAAATACTTACTTACGTATTCTACTAGGCGGAACCGTTCCTCCTCCTCCGCGTTCTGGTTCCTTCCCCGTGATTTACCGCTGACGTTGCGTTCGCAGATCCACCGGCGAGTCAGCGCGGAAGAAAAATATCTAGTCATAGTTAAGCACAGGACGGGCCACTCTTGCCAGTCCGCGTTCATCGTTATCTGCCTCGTCGTGTGGGACGGCATCGGCAACGCCGACGACCTCTACTCGACCCTCAGCGACAAACTGAACAGGTTCGGTTTGCCGACGAAGCGACGCTGCGCGACGAACGACACGCGCACCTGCGCGTGCCAGGGCGTCGACGAGGACACCTGCGGCGCGAGCTTCTCGTTCGGCTGCTCCTGGAGTATGTACTACAACGGCTGCAAGTTCACCCGCTCGAAAGACGTGAGAAAGTTCCGGCTAAGCGTCAAGGAGGAGGAACGCGACCTGGAGCGACACCTCGAGGAGCTGGCGGATCGCGTAGCGCCCATGTACAAGCGGTTGGCGCCCAGGTCTTTCGAGAACCAGTGCAGATTAGAAGGGGTAGCACGTAATTGCCGCCTCGGTACGACAGGGGGCAGGCCGTTTTCGGGGGTGACGGCGTGCTTGGACTTTTGCGCGCACGCGCACAAAGACATACACAACATGAACGACGGCTGCACGGCGGTGGTGACGTTGACGAAGCACCGGGACATGACGAAACCGTCCGGGGATGAGGAGCAGCTGCACGTGTTGCCGCTCTACGTGCCCGACGACAGCGACGAGCACGGCTCGAAGGAGAACCAACGCGTCAAAGCCGGCAAGGGAGAGATTGAGATTTTGGACAGGTGAGAGATTAGTTACACGGAGATAGAGAACGATAGAGATATAAGAGTTAAATCAAAAAAAAGTTAGAGGTCTAGTTAGACATAGAGAGTTAGAGGGAGAGATGCAGAACATTAGATAGATAGCTATAGTGAAATAGAGACGCGGAGAGAGATTAGAGGGCAAGAGAGAGATAAAGAGCTAAAAAAAGATAGAGAGCTGGGGCTAGAGAGAGATCGACCGGGATAGAGACAGATAGAGGGCTAGAGAGAGCTAGAAAGAGATAGAGATATTTAGAGGGTTAGCGAGAGCTACAGAGATAGAAAGAGATAGAGGGCTAGAGGGAGATTTAAAGAGATAGAGGGCTAAAGGGAGATAGCGAGCGCTAGAGGGAGATGGAGAGCGCTAGAGAGACAGAGAACTAGAGAGAGTTTGAGATCTGAAGGGAGATAAAGAGCTAGAGATCCGAAAAGAGATAAAGAGCTTGAGAGAGATAAAGAGCTTGAGAGAGATAAAGAGCTTGAGAGAGATAAAGAGCTTGAGAGAGATAAAGAGCTTGAGAGAGATAAAGAGCTTGAGAGAGATAAAGAGCTTGAGAGAGATAAAGAGCTTGAGAGAGATAAAGAGCTTGAGAGAGATAAAGAGCTTGAGAGAGATAAAGAGCTTGAGAGAGATAAAGAGCTTGAGAGAGATAAAGAGCTTGAGAGAGATAAAGAGCTTGAGAGAGATAAAGAGCTTGAGAGAGATAAAGAGCTTGAGAGAGATAAAGAGCTTGAGAGAGATAAAGAGCTTGAGAGAGATAAAGAGCTTGAGAGAGATAAAGAGCTTGAGAGAGATAAAGAGCTTGAGAGAGATAAAGAGCTTGAGAGAGATAAAGAGCTTGAGAGAGATAAAGAGCTTGAGAGAGATAAAGAGCTTGAGAGAGATAAAGAGCTTGAGAGAGATAAAGAGCTTGAGAGAGATAAAGAGCTTGAGAGAGATAAAGAGCTTGAGAGAGATAAAGAGCTTGAGAGAGATAAAGAGCTTGAGAGAGATAAAGAGCTTGAGAGAGATAAAGAGCTTGAGAGAGATAAAGAGCTTGAGAGAGATAAAGAGCTGGAGAGAGATAAAGAGCTGGAGAGAGATAAAGAGCTGGAGAGAGATAAAGAGCTGGAGAGAGATAAAGAGCTGGAGAGAGATAAAGAGCTTGAGAGAGATAAAGAGCTTGAGAGAGATAAAGAGCTTGAGAGAGATAAAGAGCTTGAGAGAGATAAAGAGCTGGAGAGAGATAAAGAGCTGGAGAGAGATAAAGAGCTGGAGAGAGATAAAGAGCTGGAGAGAGATAAAGAGCTGGAGAGAGATAAAGAGCTGGAGAGAGATAAAGAGCTGGAGAGAGATAAAGAGCTGGAGAGAGATAAAGAGCTTGAGAGAGATAAAGAGCTTGAGAGAGATAAAGAGCTGGAGAGAGATAAAGAGCTGGAGAGAGATAAAGAGCTGGAGAGAGATAAAGAGCTGGAGAGAGATAAAGAGCTGGAGAGAGATAAAGAGCTGGAGAGAGATAAAGAGCTGGAGAGAGATAAAGAGCTGGAGAGAGATAAAGAGCTGGAGAGAGATAAAGAGCTGGAGAGAGATAAAGAGCTGGAGAGAGAGAGAGAGAGAGAGAGAGAGAGAGAGAGAGAGAGAGAGAGAGAGAGAGAGAGAGAGAGAGAGAGAGAGAGAGAGAGAGAGAGAGAGAGATAAAGTAAGAGTGGCATCTTATTTTATTAATGCGTTTTTGCGATGGAGATTATTTTTTGTCATACAACCTTTTCTATCTTCTAGTCGGAAAATAGGTGAAAAAAAAATTAACAATTTAAAGTGAACGTGTTTTCAAATTTTCTGGATTACGACATACCAGAACTTTTTTGACCTGTAAATTTTTTCTCTGTCTCGTAAGGGAAAGCCGAAAAATGATAAAATATTAAATGGTTTCAAGGTGGAAATGTAGCATAAAAACGTCATCTTTTTTGTCCAAGAAACTTTTTCTTTAGCTCGTGAGGGAATCAAGAAAAATTAAAAATTGTTTTAGCGGTTTCTGATTTTGCAGCCAGCCAGAATATGTCGAAAGAATGTTTTGTTAAATAAATTTTTCTTTTTCTCATAGGGGAAAGCCGGAAAATTAGGGCAGAGTCGAAAAATGATGAAAAAATAAACAGTTTCCAATTTTAATGATAATTAAATTATGGCCACAATCTTTTTTAGTTTCAATCCCGCAAGGAAAATTATCGTTTGTTGCTTAATAAACTTTTCCTCTATATCGTAAGGGAAAATGGGGGGAAATGACTATAAAAATATAAAGAATTAAAAGTAGCTGTTTCAAATTTTGCAGAGAGTGAGAAAATGCCGAAACTATCGTTTTTTGTTATGTGAAATTTTTTCTATTTCAGAATGCAACGTCGGAAAATGGTCAGTAGATAAAAATATGAAAAATTAGAAATTATGGTAGCTGTTCAAAATTTTGCGGGGACTGAGAACATGGAAAAAGAATCACTTTTTATTTAATAAAGTTTTCTTTTTCTCTTAAGCAAAACTCGGAAAACGAGAGGAAAAGTCTATAGAAATACGAAGAATTATAAACCGTAACGATTCCAATTTTCAATTTTAAATTGTCTCATTAGTTTTTCCACATATCGTAAGGGAAAGTCGCATAATTAATGAGAAGTCGAGAAATGGTGACAAATTAGGACACGGCGTTTCTTGTCTTGTTGATAAATTAGTTAAACACGCTGCGTCTGGACGTCATTTTCCCCCACCCCGCATCTTCCAGGTACGAGTGCGAGGTGCGCACCCTGTCGGAACCGTTGCCCACCTGTCGGAACCGCAAGTCGAAAGACGCGTCGTCCCCCAGGAAACGCAAATCGAGCCAGCCGTCGTCGCCGTCGGTGTCTTCGACGACGCCGTCGAGGTCCGCCGAGACCGCCCCCCCGTCGCCTTACCTCAGTCCCGAGATCCAGAATCGGCACGTGTCCAGTACGACCTTGCAGGAACCCCCCGGGTGGCTGAGTTCCCCTTTCCCGGCCACGGGCTTCCACCACTTGCCCGAGTTTTCCGTTTTTAAAGCTCCCCACGCGTACCACGACCCTTACGCTTCCTACTACCATTGCCCCGCTCCTTTGCTACCATTCGCTCAGTACCGGCCCGCGTCATTCGACGACGTTTACGTCCCTACAACGCCGCAGTTTCCCAAGACGTACGTCGACGTTCGTTACACCGACAACAGCGAGTGCTTCAAAGATCCGGAGATAGGGGGCGTGGCTATCGCGTTGTCGCACGGCAGCGTGATGTTCGAGTGCGCCAAGCACGAGCTTCACGCTACTACGGCGGTGCGCAGGCCGGACCGTAGGAACCCGACCCGCCTCTCGTTGGTGTTCTACCAGCACCGGAACCTCAACAAGGCGCAGCACGGCTTCGACGAGTACACGCTGAAACAGAAGACCAAGGCAGAGGCCGAGCCGTACGACGTCGCGGACCACATCGACGCGACGGCGACGCTGCCCACCTACTCCCTCACCACCATGTTCCCGATGTATCCGTGTGTCGTAACCGGCCCTTACCAGGAGTTTTACGCAGAAAAGTAAAGGGGCGTGGTCGTAGGTGTCGTCACGCTACGAGGTTGTCCGAAACACGGGCCGTTTTTTTTTTAAATAAAAAGCGTCTCGCCCTACGCCATTTCAACGGTAGTTCGAATGATCCTAACCATTTCGGGCGCGTTTCACCTCAACCGAAAATTTTACACATTTACCGATATTTCGAAGGCTGGTTACAAGACTGTGGAAAACAAAAAAGCGCGGTCATTTCTATAGACGAGTAGTTCAAATGAACAGGGGATATGATGCCATTGCCAAACAAACTTAAATGAAAGTTTCGAAGTAGAAATGAGGTAGTTCAAGCGCACGCTTCTTCAAAGATGGGCGCAAGTTCGCCAATTATTGTAGTTTACAACCGTAATTTAAGAAAAGCACGGCGGTTTCAAATGATTCGATTTCCATTATCGAATAGTTTTGGTTGGGATACATGGCGCATTGGAAATGCGGTAGTTCAAACGCGCCTTATTTGTTTTATTTTATTTTATTAGCAGAGTTAGAAAAAACATTGAAGAACAAAATTTTCAAAAGCACTGTAGTTCAAATGGATCGAACAATCTAATCGTTCCGATAAACGGGTAGTTCAATTCAATAATGAGGTAACTTCGATTGGGACTTAAGCTTTAATGGAGGTTAATTATGATATTATAGCTTGCAAGAAAAGTACAACAGTTTCAAGTGTAGTTCATATGAATATAATATTTCAATTTCTATAATCGAGCAGTTTCGCATTAGATATGCGGTAGTTCTAACCCTCACTTTTTCAAAAAGCCCCAAAGTTCGCCCCAAAAGTATACCCGAACAAAAATTTTACAAAGCACGGTAGTTCATATCCAATGCTTATTTCAATGTCTGAGTAGTTCAAATGAATCAAACCATTCAATTTTAATAATCTATTACTTTCAATTGGGTCACAAGCTTTAACGGAACTTCTGACATGACGTAATAGAAATGCGGTAGTCCAAACGCGCACTTTTTTGAAAAATCGGAAGTTCGCCTATTGTTTTTTTTTGTCTTACAGCGTTATTTAAAAAAAATCATTTTGCAAAGCACCATAGTTCACATGAATAAAATAAATCTTTTGTTCCAATGAACGAGTAGTTCATATGAATCAAATAAACGATTTTAATTAATAACGGAATTTCCCGAATAAAATTTTACAGAGCACTATAGTTCAAATGAATCAAATAATTTTATCGAAATGCAGCAAAAGCGCAAGCGTGTCCATTGTTTTATTTTATCTTGCAGCGGTATTTGAAAAAAAAAATTCAAAGAGAAAGGTCGCAAAACACTAAAGTTCGAATGAATAAAATAATTCGATTGTTCCAAAGGTCGAGTAGTTCAAATGAATCAATTTTTTTTTTATAATCGAGTAGTTTCGGTTGGGGGGCACAGTGATGCGGTAGTACAAATACGCGTTTTTTCGAAAAGCCGCAATTAAATTTTATCTTACGATATTGGAAAACACCTATCCCCGAACAAAAATTTAGATCGTTCCAATCGACGACTAGTTGCAACGAAAGGCTGATAATACCTATTTTCTTTCAGTTGGAAAGCCGAAATGGCGCAATGTAAATGTAGTAGTTCAAACGCGCATTTTTTCAAAAGCACGATAGTTCAAATGTCAAACTTGTCAATTGAAAAGTAGATCAAACGAAATTCCGATAATACCCATTACCTTTATACCGAGAAGCTTAAATGGGAGATTCCATATGTGGTAATTCAAACGCACACTTTTTCGAAAAGGCGCCGAATATTTTATTTCATTTTACAGCGGTATGAAAAGTAGCCCCACACAGTGTAGTTCAGATAATCGTAATAATTGCGCGGTTGCGAAATAACTCTGCTAGTAGTTCAAACGACGCGTAAATAGAGATTGTTGTTAACAGAGGTTCAAACTAACAAAAATAGAATTATATATCTTTTAAAAGACATTAAAAAAAGTACTTATTTTTATACCGAACGGATATTTTAAAAATTACTTAATTATGTATTTTTTGGATGCGAAAACTCCCGAAAATTTTTCTAAACTCTCGCGTTTCGGACAACCTCTCCATGCGTCGAACGCAGCACAATTTTGTAATTAACACGGTCGATGTAATAAGCGGGACGCATGACGTCACGCATCGCGCCTGCGCGAAACATTTATTATTATTATTATCGCAGAATATTTAAAAGAGAAACAAACATTATTCAATATAGTATACATCAGTGCCTCTATGATCTCAAAGGAAGAAGAAAACATATAAAAAAATAATAATATAAAAAAGTATAAACCGCAAATTTACCGGAGAGTACAAAAAAATAAGACGTTCAGATTCCACGGTATTCGTATAAAAACGATAAATAATTAATTTATTTGTACATAACGCCCCCCCTCCCCACAAGTATTATACTCGATTGACGCTCCCTCCGCGCACCCTCTGGATGGTAGGGAGAGAGGTGCGCAAAAACCAGCGGCGGAGGTGCGCGTTCGTCTATTTTTATTTTTTTTTTAATAAAATTCGTTCCAAATTGCCCTCCGCCCTCCTCTACCACTCTCTCGAGGGCACGCGAACATCCCCAATTATGTTACCGAAATGTTTGTAATTTTTCGCCTTTTAGTCGCTATGCCATTCAAAAAAATAGTAAAAACGAATGATATATTTTTGAAAAAAAAAAGCCGTCTGGCGTAGAGAGAGAGAGACAGATTTATTATATATTATATATTATATTTCCGGGAAAGTTGAGTTTTGACTTCAGAGGCCATAACCGTGGTGTGACTGTGTGTGCGTGAGTGCGAAGAAACCTTTTATAGTTTTGAAAGTATATTTTTTACGAAGAAATTGAATGGAATAATAAAAGTTACATCGATAGGTTTTACGTAATAATTACGCTAAGTGATAAGTTTTGTAAGGCGCGCAAATCGCCGCCCCCTCTACCCCCTACCCCCCGCCGATGCCAAATATTCGTACACGTTTTCTTGCCTGCACCTTTTTGTTTTACCCTGTATCATACTACCGCCTAGACGTTCCAAAAGCACCTATTTATTATTTATTTATTTATTTTTTAGAGTATTTAAATTTTTGGCGGTCCGGTTTTTCTTTTCGACCGAGCGACGGGCAGCCGCTCTACATTTCGCCCTTACTTTTTATTTTCACATTTTTTGTGTCTTAATTTTTCTGTTTTTCTTTTAATTTTCTATTTTTAATAGAACATTTCTTGCTACTTTCTTTTCTCTGTTTATTTATTTCCTTCTCATATCCTCCGTGTTTTCCCTCTTTACGAATTATTTCCTCGCAATAAATATCTGAGACGTTTTTTCGAATTTTGTTGCTTCTATATTTATTTATTTTTTGTTTTTGTACGTTTTTATTTAGTTCCTTCTCATACCTGTTTGGAAAATTGCTTCGCAAATTTTTTCGACTTTTGTTGCTTCCATTTTTTATTTATTTTTTGTTACTGCATTTTAATGTTTACTCTCCGTATATTTCTCAGTCGTGTTTTTGAAGTTTGCACGCGCCAATGGTTTTACGTATATTTTCTTTTGCTTTGTCGAACATCCATGTTTTTCTTTTTTTTTCCTAGTTTTACCTTGATTTTTTCTGTTTCTTTGCCTCTGCGACTATTTCCTTCACGAACTTTTCCCCCGCAATACAAGTTTTTTCGAATTTTGTTGCTTCGATTTATTTGTAGTTATTGTATTGTCTGGCGCGCCTATTTTCTTTTTCACTCGTCGCACATCGATTTTTTCAATTTTAGTTACTAGTTTTATCTTCCATTTTCCGTTTCTTTTCACTATTTTTTTTGGAGTTATTGATTTAGTCCCTGCTCATTGCATCCGCGTGTATTTACTTCACGGATTTTTAACTAGTAACACATACTTAAGACCTTAATTTTTCTTTTATTGTTTTGCTTTTATATATATATATTTATTATTTTATTTTCTTTTTTACTTTCCTTGCTTTTTCTTTTATTATACTCTCGGACTGCCTCCGTTTTCCGAAAAAACAAACCCGGCCGTCATTTTTCTAAGGTATATTTGTACATATAACGTTTTTTTAACCTATAAATTAAGCTATGTAACATTTTCGAAAAATAATTGCGATGGGAAAAGCAATCATGTGTGTATATAGTATATATTTTTCTTTTTGTCGGTGGATACTTGCATTCCTAGGTGTCGCCGTTCGTCACGACGTCGGATAACGAAATGAAAAAAAAAAGGAAAACTTAAGCAATATCTACGGTTACTTTTAGATCCATATCACGTTTGGAAGTATCTACTATTTCGATGAAAAAGGAAGATGAAAATTTACTTTTTATTACAAAACGATTGGTACTATTGTTTGTATTCCTAGTTATAGACTTTTTAGTTTAGGTTTAAGAGAAAAATTACTATGTGTATTTGTCTTGTGAATACATTTATAAAATAGCAGGCGGCGCGTTTGATTTCGTCGTCGGAGTGAGCGCCATCTCTTGTCTGACCCCATAAGGTGAGGTGCTCCAAGCCATGGACAAAATTAAGCACTCAAGGACTGTCTGAAATTGTAAAAACTGATGGAATCTTCAATGATTACGTGTTATGAACGTATTCGTCTAGTTTTGCATCAAAAAAATAAAAATAATACACAGAAAAATGTTATGAAAATATATCATACAAATACTACGTGCTATAAGCTACAGTTAAATTCAGGTGGACTACTTGGTAAGTAAAGTGAGATTTGTAATTTAAGTTTCCCACAGACATTTTATATATACCGTTTAATCTTTACCGTTAATATCTTAAAAATTTAATCCTCTTAAAAGCTCTATCCTTCCATGATTTTTCTTCCAATTACAGACTTTTTCTTTAAATACACTGATCAATTGTAGACGTTAAATAAACAATATAACAATTTAAAATTGTTTTTATTCCATTGCTTATATGCCATAGCAACAATACATCTCTCTCTGTCTAACGTACACAGCTAAAAAGAGACAACAATAGCAGAACCAATCGGAACGATGGTATAATGGTGCGAAACTTAGAAATCCTATAATTTGATATTATTTTTACTTGTTAAATTGTAATTTTTTCGTGACGGTCATGGAAAAAGTATAGTATGCAACACGTTCGGTAAACTTTTTAATGTCGTTTACCGCACTTGTTGCATAATATACTATTCCATAATAAAAGCGTCTTAAATTAAAAAAGAATACACTACAGTTAAATGAGAGCCTTTTGCAAGATTTTAATACTCATCTTTCAGATTTAAACAAAATCACCCAAGATCAAGTAGTAGACCAAACTTATACGTACTACGTAACTAAAGAACCGAATATACACGCAGACCTATGGATCGGCCAAAGTAAACTTGAAATGGTCAAGAGGATTAAATACATGGGACAATTATTTATTAATTTAATGCTAATAAAATGCAGAATTGAACAAGCAAGAGCAAATTTCATACGTATGAGGAAAGTGCCACGTGGACACGAACTTAAAATAGAGCTTAGAATGAGAATGGTCCAATGTTACGTGTTCTCAATCCTGTCGTATGGAGCAAAATCTTGGAATCTCGCAGAGACTACCATAAAAAATATTTTGAAATGTGGGTGTACAGGCCGATATTGAGGCTAGGTTGGATAGATGGGACATCCGAAAACATACAACATCCAGCATTTGATCATTCAAGGCAAGATTGAGTGAAAACGAGGCCCAGGAAGAAGATCTCGGCTGAAAAACCTACGACAGTGGTTCGGTCAATCAACTAATACGCTGTTTAGGGCAGCGGTAAATAAAGAATTGACAGCCAACATGATTGCTAAGAAGAAGAATATGCTACTCTAACCTAGGCGCATTTTTTTCTCATAGGAGAACAGCGGGAAAATTTGTGCTAATGAGAAAAGGGTGCCCTGTTTTATCAACGAAACACGTATTTATTGAACATTGGAGTGATTCCAATTTACCGAAATTTTGTGTATTTGTAAAATTTTCGAAAGCTCTGGCTTTAGACTAAATCCATAAAATTATCCAAAAAATAACACTTTCCCCCTGGTATTTCGTAAAGGGCTAAAAATGTACAAATAACTATAATTTATAATTATAATAACGAAAAAAAAATTGGCTAAGGTGGGCCTCCTTACCCTAGGGGGGCCAGCTTGCCCCACCCTCCCCTAAGTCATATTTGTCTTAATTAATTTTTTCACTAATTACCTAAGGCAAGCAGTCGGAAAATGACCACGCAGTAGTGGCGGCATCTCTAGTCGGATCGTCGGAACAATTGATTTAGCCATTATGCGCGTGCGTCGTGAATAGCCGCCAACAGATGGCAGCATACATTTCGAGTCGTTTAACTAATTAGTTAGGCGTGAAGCAATAGATGGCGCGCATCCGGTAGTGGTGCCGTCTTTCGTTAAACAACGGAACCAATTAAGGCTCTCTCACCTCAATTACAAAGAACTTTATAATGGACAAATAAATTACAAACTTTTTTTTTTCAAGAAACTTGCACAACTACTTACAAATCCTCTGGATTCCTCCTGCTAAGGTTGTTTATAAAGCTAACTTGCTGACGTTACGCCTATCATCCTGTTGGCTTCTTCAGAGCTCAGCTGGCATTTAGGAAAATACACTTTTCTTGTTGTAAAACCACTTTTCTTACGATTTAGTTTCAAGTTGTGTTTTTCAAAAAGATCAGTTAGTAGAAAATAAATCGAAGTCGAAAAAGGAAGTCTCAAATATTATCAGCGAATTTGACAGTATCGCAGTGACTTAAGAATATCCGACGTTTAGATGCAGATGCTATATGTACAGGGTTATTCATTTTATTTTGACACCGACACACAGAAGTGAACGATTTATCTTATCCAATGCCCTCGAATGATCCAGAATAAGGAATAAATGAGGATAATAATAGTGTTCATCTTCTTAGCAAAAGCACACTATACTAGTTAAAAAATATTCTCTGTTTTAAAGTGAAAATTTTCGATAATGCGATAATTTCTAATTTTTGCTTGATAAGGTGTAATGTAATTTTCGAAAACTTTTATAAAAAGTGATTTTTTTTTTCGTATAAACATACTGCATAAAAATAAACGAGACCTTCTTTTAAAACCGTCCCCCGTAGTGGCAGGCAGCGCTTTCGCTGCTTGTTGCGTAAACCGCAACCACATTGCAGGAAAAAAAACGGAAAGTGCAAGACAATATTTCGCAGAAGTTATATTTTTATTTGTTTTCCCGATATTTGCAAATTTGATTTAACGCGCCAGGCGTTTAGGAAAGCGCAATAAACACGCTTGCCGAGGTCATTAATTTCGCAGCTAATTACCTGCAAATTAACGGCCGGCGTTGTTTGCGTTATGAAGCAAACACTCGCACAGAATCAAAGTTCGACCCAATTATTTCGAAGTTTTTTTTTCTATCTACGACGTATACAGCGTAATTTTGAAAAAATAATTTGTATATATTGGTCTTTGGTGAATCTCGCTCCCGAAAACCCAAAGATCGCGAAGGTCAACCGCCATTTTACCTGACCCATCGGCGTACGGTCCCAGACAAGCGAATTCCGTCAAAATTCAACAGCAACGAGGTAAATGTGGGGTTAGTCATCTGCGCGCCCGTCGAAGTTTCGCCAGCTTTTTTCATTATTTTCGATGACGAAACGCGGCCATATTAACATTTGAAATCTGTAAGCAGTTAACCCCAAATACTTAATATTTTTCGAAATTCAACGGGGCGATTTTTTCGTAACATTTTCAACGTGTCGAATATTTTCTCCCGTTTTGTAGTCTTTTTGGTTACTTTCAATTGGTTAGTTGTTATACGAAATTTATTTGGTATTATTATTTTATATTAATTATTAATAGTATAAGTAATTCATTAATAAATAATAACCGAATTTCAATTTTTAAATCCACATAAAACCAAGTAATCGGACATGGTTAGTTTAAAAGCCACGAGATATGTGGGGTTTGTCGGCCGCACGCCCGTCGCAGTCTCCGACATTTTCCGCTTTTAGCGCAGTTTTCTTATTATTGTCGAAACGCGAAACGTTAAGGGTCACAAGCTGTCTGATATTTATTTTTTTTGAAAATTTCAACCTGTCGACTCTTTTCATGTATGTTACATTCTCCGAGTAACATTTTCGACGTCTTGAATATTTTCTACAGCTTTGTGGCATATTTAATTAGTTTCGATTGATTGGTTGCTGTTATGTAAATATTATTACACATTATTATTTAATAATTCTAAAAGCATTTACAATGTCTAAATTCAGAGTTCACCCAATAACCAGACCTGGGAAATGTAAAATGTATGTGGGGTTCGTCATCTGCGCGCCCGTCGAACTCAGCGCAGGTTTCGCGGCTTCTTTCGACCATTCTCGAAGACGAAAAACGGCCACCCTAATAAAAAGAATTGCCAATTGCTGGATACTCAATTTTTTTGAAATTTTCTACCAGGCGACATTTTTTTTGTACTTCACATACTCCGCGCAATATTTTCGACACCTTGAATATTTTGTCCAGTTTTGGTTAGTTTCCGTTGGTTATCTACCTTTACGTATAAATTATATTTGGCGTTCATGACTATTTGGAAAAACATCTCATATCGTGATTATTGGAATTCTTATTTTATATTACTTAATAAAAATATAAGTAAGTCCGATAGATAATCAAACATAGGCCAGTTTATAAGTCACCAGATAGGTGGGGTTCGTCGTCTGCACGCCCGTCGAATTTTCGAGAAGTTTTGCCACCACTTTTGGAAGGCGAAACGCTGCCATCTCAAGGTTAAGAGTTGCGAACTGCCGGATACTTTTTTTTTTTGAAAAATTTATATTATTCATACAGCGCGTAACATTTTAGACATCTTGAATATTTTCATCAATTTTGTAGTTTGTTTAATTACTTTTCGCGTTTCTAAAAATTTGAAAAAATCTGATTTGTTATTAATAGTATTTTTATTATTTAGTATTATTTGATGTGAATGTGAATAATTCTTTAACAAGTAATATTAGAAACCGGACATACGCAAGCCAGGAGATATGTGGGGTCCGTCATCTGCGCGCCCGTCGACGTCTCCGCCGGTTTTACGATGCTAATTATAATCATTTCAATCACAAGTCTATCTGATCGCGTTTCATTTCGCGAAGATTTGCGACCACTTTCGAAGGCGGAACGCGTTGACCCGATGATTTTTTTTCAAAAATTTCCACCGCGCTACATTTTTTTTTATAATTTAGTTCAGGTAGTTTCGATTTGTTAGTTGTCGCTCTATATAAATTATTATGAAAATTTCAAAAAAATCATAAATATAGGTAAGTTCACGAGATATGTGGGGTTCGTCGTCTGCGCGCCCGTCCAAGTCTTTGATATATTCGAAGACGAAAAGCGACCATATTAGAGTTAAAATGGCATACTAATTATAGTAATTTTAATTACAAGTCTATCTGTTGAGCAAAAAATTGTTCCGGCCGGAATTAAAGTGAATTCTAAGTGTAAGTTTAACGTTATCTTTTTAATGTTAAATTCACTCACATAACTCAAATAGTAGTGGACAATTTAAAATCTTTCAGTCTTCAAATACTTTTTTATGAACCGTAAAATTTGTACTTCCATACTGTAAAATCTCGTAACAAATAATATTAACAACGCAAAATTATTCGCCAAATTAGATTTCAGATGCCAAAAAACATCGATTTGCCATGCCCCAGGCACCAAGCGCCATTATTTCTGGAAATATAACGTAAGTTTCGTTAAATCGTAATATTTTTACCTAAAGAATCTTGCTATGTACTGTTACTCATGGTGCGCCCTGAATAGTAAAACTAATCAAACGACCCTCGTAGAGGCGGGTAAGACCGCCTGGCAATCGGGATTTAAGACCCGTCGTCTCCGATTTCGATACGGACGACAATTTTCGAAAAAAAATAAACACGGAGAACGAAGGAATACCTACCGGGCGCTTTCTCGACTCTCGTCTACGCCAAGACCGGCCAAGGATCCGACTCCTTCTCTCTCTACGGCTTCTCTCTCGCTTTGAAAACGGGTAGGTACCGCAATTTCTGGTTTCTTTCACGCCGACTGGACCTATTCAGTAACCCGCACGCCTCTGCACGTCGCGTACCGCGTATATCCGAAAACGGAACACCCATCGAGGTGTCCGCGTCCTCGCTCGGTGGTTTATTCGGTGTTTGGTTGTTGAGTTTTCTATTAAAAAGGGAATACCGTCCGTGTCTGAGGGATTCTACCGCCGCCCTGAGGAGTTCCTCACGTAAGTGTGACTTTATTCGAAGCTTTGACGAGATAAAAGATTAAAGATAAAAGTTTGGAAAGCTTTCGCTTATTTAAATGATTCTTTAAAATCATTGCTTTGCTTTTTAGTCAGAGAGTCTGGGACCGAGAGATTTATGGTATATTTATAGATTATGGTATACTCTGTCGCAAAGGATATATACATATTATATTATCTTTATTTGGGTAAAATGAAAGGTAGATATTATAATTACCCAAATAAGTATCTTCAAGCACCTTTTATTCATTCAATAATTCACTGTTAACAATATCTTTTCGACCTTGAGAGAAAGAAGAGCGAAAAGAAAAAAGTTCAATAAAATAACCATACTGTCAGTTGCATAATATTATTTTTTGCTAGAAATTTAAATTGATAAAACAATTGCTGAGGTCAGAATTTCCGAGAAACACGTTTAAATTTCTGACGTAAGCAACAATTTCTGAGAAGCAGGTCAGAATTTCCGAGAAACATGTCAGAAGTTTCTACTGAATTCAGAATTTCTGAGCAGCCACTCAGAAATTTTGACTCATAATTTCTGGTTTCGAAAATACAGATACCGGAAAGTTGTTATAGTACGATAAGAAAAATTATTAGTTATCGACATGGCAACTATTATGAATTTGAAACTTATTTGTCCCTTGAATGGCGTTAGTATCACAATATTTACATAATTAGAGTCATATCGTTTTTATCTGTTGTTTGAGTTCTGGTTGGTTTTTAAATTATTTGCATTTAAAAATTCGAATGTATGTTTTACGATTCTTTAAATAAATAATTAAAAGATGTTAAATTAAGAGGAGCAATAATACATCAACATTTTGAGCAACAACAATTTAATTAATAGCAATGAAAAGAAATTTTTACTTGATTCTCAGAAATTTCGATTTATTTTTCAGAAATTCTTACTTGTTTGTCAGAAATTCAAATTTGTTTTTCAGAAATCCAGAAAATGCAACTTGTTTCTTGAAAATTCATGACTTATTTCTCAGAAATAATGACTTTTTCTTCAGAAATTCTGATTGGTTTCTAAGAAATTCCGACTTATTTCTCAAAAGTTTGCCTAAATGAGCTAAAATCCATATTTCGTTTTTGGATGGCCTTTCAGCGCTTTCGCATGATCGTCAATACACGTTAACGACGTTATAAATTTTACGAGCGCTGCGAAAAATACGCGGTTAACATTTTACGATTGTTTTAGTTGGTTTTAAGACCGTGCGAGGCTAGAAAAAAAAACGCCCAAATTACGGGCGCTATCGGAAACCTCTTTCCCACGGAAAAGCTAGCGAAACGAGTGTGTCCCCCGAGCTAGACGGCATAACGGCGTTTTTTTTTATTGGCGGATCTGAAACGCGACCTCTAGGCGATTTGGTGTGTGAAAACGATTTCGCGGAGTTAATACCACACACCAATTTCATCAACTAACTTCACTGTTCAAATACAATTTCATTGTGTCGTATATATATGTACTACGTAGTATCGAAACGCAGAAATTGAACTGATTGATAAACACGTATATCTGGGACATCACAATCAATAGAGATATCAATCAAGAGAGATAAAGATAATTCTTATAGTACACATGAATTCTATTATGAATATGCTTAACACCCACTAATTCCGTTACCAATACCTTTGTTTTTCCCTAATACCTTTAATACTTCCGCTGATACCAATCAAGTGAACTCAATTTCTTTATTAACACCTCTAAAACCTTGTAATTCTGTTACTAATACCTCTAGTACGCCGCAATTCCTTAAGTTTACATTTAATTCCCTTATTATTCATCCACTAATTCCATTACTAATACATATTACGCCCTAATTCCCTAACTTATACCTGCAATAGCAACTAATTTCTCGTAATACTTCGGCTAATACCAATTAATTCTACCTGTTTACATTATTCACACCTCTAATACCCATTAATTCGTTCACTAATACTTCTATTACGCCCTAATTATCTAACTAATACCTGCAATACACCAACTAATTCCATTTAGTTCCATTATGAATACCTCTAACTCCCAATAATTCTGTTACTAATACCTCGAATACGCTTTAATTCTATAACTAATACCTATAAGATCTACTAATTCTCGTAAAAATTCCTTTAATACCAAGTAATTCCCTTATTTGAACCTGTAACACCCACTAATTCCATTATAAATAGCTCTAACGCCTACTAATCCCCCTAATAATAACAATGCTAGACTTTTTTTATTAATAAGAATAAAAATTTATATGTATACCAGCCCTCGATATAGGTACCCAATTTAAAAATATGTATCTATCTGTCTATATATAAATAATAGAACCAACATTAAATAATTAGTCATTCTTTTTATTATATCCAGAAGCCGTTTAATAAAAAATGAAGTGATTAATTCTAATTTAGATAAGTAATTAAGGAAATAATTAAATTATGTTTAATTAAATGTATTATAATGTACTTGTGCGTAGTCGGATAATTAAGCAATAAATTAAAATTTAGTTAAATATTTGTAGAACTAACTGAACTTTAATTAGATAAATAATTAAATATTTTTAATTCAGTCACACTAATTAAATTAATAAATCTAATTTTGTTAAATATTAAAATACTTGAGTAAAATTTAGTTGGTTAATTAAAATGGTTAAAAAAAAAAATTAAAATATATTAATTACTTGAAATGATTAAATTATTGATTGGACGATTAGTTAATTAAGTAATTGATTTGGGTTTCCAAACTTCTTAAGCGACGATCGCGTGTTATCAATTCGTTCGAAAAGTCCTAGGTCGTCGGTACCATTGATAAACGTTTTGGTCCGTTGGGCCTCGTTTTTTTGCGACACCGCAACCCGCACCGAACGTCGTAGTATCTCGCGGGTCGATCTTTCGCGTTGCAAATCTCATTGTTGCGACACGTCTGACCGTAAAATCGACTATAACCGGGTCAAATTCGTTATTATTGTTACGGGCGAACAATGGCGATAAATCGCAACGTGCGTGTACGCCATTATCCGCGTATCGAAATTCGGACCAAGCCGGAGACGCTTCCCCGTAAAAAATCAGCCCAGCAATATACAGGGCTTAAATATTTTCATAGACAAATAACAACTTTGCTATTCTAAATCGAGTGTACCGGATATAAAGAAATTTTTGAATTTTATGTCAAAATTAACATTAACAAAATCATTAATTAATATATGTTTGTTTTCAGTAATTAAATCATCAACTAAATTTTAATTAAGTATTTAATTATTTAACACAATTTTCTTTAATTGCGTAAAATCATTAATTAATAAATTCTATAATTAAATTCGTATTAATCGTATTAATAATAAAGAATGGGTGAGTGCCGAATTTCAGGAATGCTTCTAACTTTTAAAGGAAAAGGGCGTCGCAATTATAAAATAACTAATTTTAGATTAATTAGGATTGAACTAAACAATGTTAATATTAAACAAATGAGTGAGTTAATAAACGAACAACAAATAAATACGCCCAAAATAATGGTGGTAGATAAAATAAGATGACCAAGAATAAGAAAACTTTGCTATCGATTTCTCCAAAGTAAAATATTTATTTGATTTATCGTTTTAATTAATTAAATGTTCATTTGATAATCATCGCTACTTACGTAAAAATTATTCTTTTTTTTTTCGTAAACGCGGCCAGAAACGACGTATATTAACGACGACGAATGCAAAACCGTATAAAAAATGATCGGCCCGACCTTAATTGCCGTCGCCATTTCTCACGTCAAAAGTTCTATTAATAACGGCCCGACAGACGGTCGTCAATTAACTTATATGTTTATTTTATTAGATCAATAGTTTTCGAGAACGTGAGATTTTTTTCATCATCGAACGTAGAGATTTCTACACGGGGGTTCCCATAGCTATTGTCTCGGTACGCGTTTCGCAAGTAAAGTAGGCGACGGTAAAAGAAAAACGATCACGGCGATCTAGTTTGCTGGAAAAAAACAAAAATGAAACGGAACACGAAAAGTGGGAAGAATTGAAATCATAATGCTATAAAAAATATTTACACGTTGCCATAATAACCTTAAAAAGTCTGGCAGAATGATCGAGTGGCTGAGAAAAGTAAAGAACAAAGAAGAAGTACTTAGGCACACATACAAATTTACATCCTCTGATGGTATCATAAATCACAGACCTAGTAGCTTTCAATTTCGGAAACTGTGCTTTAATTGGAAGTTTTGAACTTTGACTCATCTTCCAGCCACGAATTTTTAGTATTTTTGTATATCTCCTTTTTTTTTTTAATTCCTATTAATAAAAAAAAACCAGTATCGGAATTAGTTCCTTCCAATAGGTGTTAGGGGTATTATTAACGGAATTAGTGGGTGTTACAGGTATTAATAATTAAATTAGTTGGTATTAGCGGAATTTCTACGAGAAATAGTAGGTGTTAGAGGTATTAATAAAGGAATTAATTTGAATTAGTGGAAATATTAAGCCAATTAGTAGGTATTGCAGATTGCAGTTAGGGAATTAGGTATTAGTAATGGCATTATTGCATGTTAGAGGTATTAATAAGGGAATTAAATGTGATTACTAGGTATTGCACGTATAAGTTAGGGTATTAGGGCGTAATAGAGGTATTGGTAACGGAATTACAACGTTTTAGAGGTATAAATAATAGAGTGCAACAGAGGTAACGGAATTAGTGGGTGTTGGAGGTATTGATTCATTCAGATTTTTGATGTGAACTCTTACATCGATCTAGAAATACTACATATGTTACCCACCCTTTTGTTATCTTGCTGGATATCTCTATTGATTTTGAAGTTCAAGATATACTTGTAAATGAGTTCAATTTCTGCGTTTCATACGTCATTAAGATCGACCGGCATAGCGTAGCAGTGACATACATATTGTCCTTTAATAATAATAATTATTATTTTGATAATACTTTATACCTCTACCTCTCTAGCAAAAGTAGTAGAGCCAGATTTTTAGTTTCATCGTCGCATC